TAACCTAAGTTTTTTTACCAATCTATCAGAATCAGCATATAAGAGGACACCTATTTGCCTTCCCTGAAACACATTACTGAATTCATTTTTTCAGTTAATCTTCACAATAGCTTAATTCCATGGATGTGGAAAGTGCTATTCAAAGAGGTTAGAAACTCTATGCTCACATGGCTAGTAAATGTGTTAGTGATATGCACAACTAATGTTCCATTCTACTCCAAAGACTCTGTATTGCCTTTAAGGATAAGAAAATACATGGATGTATTTTGAGGTTGAATAGTAAGAAAACACTAGACTCTCATAGTCTTTGTAGTAGACTGAGCTTTAACAACTAAAATGAAAAGGGTGTTCAGGGTGGAGAGTGAGACTAGAAATGGAAACTTGAAAAGCATGGGAAATATTTGGAAGAACCATTGTAAAGATGAAGATAAAGACTCAATATCTAATGAACTAAAGGACACTGCAGGATAAGTGAAAGCTGTATTGATCACATTAGCTACTATGGTATAGAAATGAACTCAGTCAGCTGCGCCATGACCCTCTATAGCAGCAACCCATTATCCATATGTAGGATCATTGAGTGGAAATGGAGATGAACAAAGGAGGCACAGAAAAAGATCAAGAAATTCGAATGCCTTGAAAAAAATCCTTAAAAAATCTTCTGAGTTTCCATGGAGTGAAAATATATTTTCTTTATCTTCATGATTTATTAGAGATCCTGAAGTTTTGCATGTTCTCTCAAATGCTTTCCCTCTATCATTTTTTAAATGGTGTCTTTCTTAGAACTTCATCCTAAAATCAGCCTAGTCATCTTCTTACCGCATGTTTTCTTTTTGGCGATCTAATGTTTTCAAGCATATCATTTTTAGGAAAGATTACTTATAGGAACTAAAAATACAAAAATTTATTTCCTAGCAAGCTACCTGTATTACTTTTCCCCAAAGAAAGTCTTCTAATACCTAATGTATGACTACCCCACTTTGAAAGATGCTGAACTTGACGAATGCTACCTAAAGAAGGAACTAAATAACACAACATCTAGCTGTCTAATTCATAGTCCTCTTTTTTCTTATTTTTTGTACTTCTATTCTAAGCTTGATACACTTACTATTTCCTATCCAAAGTTTTTTCTGGTCTTCTTACTTCTACTTTTCCCTTTTAAACCAGGAGAAAATAATTTATCAGTCACTTTAAGTCACACTTAATAATTGCACCTGTACTGAGCAGAATATATCTCTCATTTATCTATTTCACATAGAAACATCTTTTGGCCATATCTGCATTCTTATAAATTTTAAGAACATAGTAATTACAGAAAGTTATAAAACTAGTGAAGTGCATAAGAAATGAGAGAGACTTTGCTATATATTTAGTTTTGAATAGATTCTATATGTACATTTAGCAATCATTTTTTTCTCTTTAGTTGTATTTTCCTCTCCAAAAATCATGTGTGTACTAAAACTCTGACATCGAGTTTTAATGGGGAGCCTCTTTAATGAAATTAACTCTGAAGCCTTAGTGTCACCATGGAAATCACTGTGGAGCAATCATACGAACTCAGAAACTTTCCACATTTCCTCTTGGACTCTTTTTTAATGTTATGGTCTGTCCATCATCATCGTGACAAAGACTCTGAGAAACTTTTTTTTTTTTAGTCTTGGCTTCACCTCAGGAAGACAGATAATTAATCTTGTAATTTTAGAAGTCTCATTGTCATGGATAGAGGCATTCACTGACAGTATTTACTGTTATTTAAAATATACTTAGATTCATATAAAAATTTACTTTAATAAAAATATGTAACAACAATAACTTTACTGGAATTTTGTTATAATATTATTAAGCCATTTCAATGGTGTTATTTTGCTTTACAGAAGTTAATAAACCTGATGAAGTTTTAATATAATGCATCTTTTTATATAACTTAAATCACTTTATTGTGTTTTACTGTATTGCTTGTACAATTAAGTAGTTTAAATTGATGAAAATTGGAACTCTCATCTCTGGTGGTAATAGAATAAATAGTTAAGGAGAATTTTATGTACTGCAGCACCTTGGTGATCCCTCTGTAATACTGGCTATGCCTTCCTTTTGAAAATGTTATCTTCCCTTGGCTTTCATGGCACCACATTCTACCACTTTTGTCCCCATCTCTCTGCCTGTCCCAACAAACTCTTACGTGGGCTTGGTCTCCTTCCTCTGCTTAATTGGTGTTTCTCAAAGTCTAGTCAGAATGGCTAAATATCTTCTGAATAAAATAAAAATCTAGCTGTGATAAATAGCTTTATAGTTTTTCTGGCTGAAACTTATACATTCCTACTTAGCTTCTTTAAGCATGCATCTTTACAATACTTTGTAAAAGGACCCAGAGGAACTTTAAAGTTATATAAAATAAATACATGCTCTTACATATAAATGAAAGCAATTAAAACAATTGTTTATGAAGAACAACATGTATTGCTTATTTGATTAGTATGTAATAAAATCTTAAAATGTTAAAACATGTAGTAGCTGGTATTTGTCTTTCACCGCCTGGCTTATTTCATTTAGCATAATGCTCTCCAGAGCCATCCAGGCTGCATAGTATTCCAAAAATTAAATGTACCACAATTATTGATATACCTATTTACTGCTGGGCACTTATCAACAAAACAAACAAGCAAGCAAAATATAACCAGAGACACTGAAATTAAGAACAAACTGACAGTAACCAGAGGGGAGGTGGGAGAGGATAATGAAGGGAAAGGGGAAGGGTTGTCAAGGAACATGTATAAAGGACACATGGACAAAGCCAAATTGGGGCAGGATCAAGGGTAGGAAGTGGGGATGGGTCGGGTATGTGAGAGTGGTGGGGGAAAAATGGAGACAACTGTCCTCGAACAACAATAAAAAAATTAAAAATCATCCCCACTCCAAAAAAAAATAATAGTTGCAAGTGAGCTTCTCACTAACATATTTGCACTCCTCACTTCATCAGTATGGGAGCACTGAGAGGTCTCACTTAAATATTCTGTGAGTCTCAACTTGAGAGGAGAAAAAAGGGTAGAAAAAATATTTGTAGAAATAATTGTCAACATTTATGTCATTTTGTAAAACATAACATAAGCTCACTGAACCCCTAGCAGGATTAAACACAAAGAAAACCACATTTGGACACATCATAATTTAACATCAAGAAAGAAAAGAAAATTGTAAAAAAGGTCACCTCCACACTAAAAAAAAAAAAGGGAAAAAATCCTCCAAAAAACAAATATACAAGTAATGGTCACCTTGTCATTAGAAATAATATTTGACAAAAGACAATAAAATGACATCTTTAAAGTAATGAATATTAAACATTTTTATATGTGGTAGTAGATATTAACCAGACTTATTTTGGTGATCCTTTTTAATATATACATATAGAAAATTATTATTTTATACACCTGAAGCTAATATCATGTTAATGTCAATTTTATCTCAATATTGGGAATAAAAGACAGAAAACTGTACTTGGACAATTAAAATTTAAAAAAAATTATTGTTGTATACAAATTGTTGAATAAATTTATTTTGATTTTTAAAATTAAAGGTTGCTCTTGATATAAAATCATCAGCCTTAATTTTAGAAATAGTAAGATTTTATCCACAATTTTCCCCTTAGACAATTTAAAAGTATGAACAAAAGTATGTTTTGATTATGTATGATTATCTTCTGAGGCTCTCAGTGCTCTTGTTAAATGTTAATCAAAATCAGCAATGTTCCTATTTGAAAATATAAAGACAAAAAATCTGTCAACTCAGAGTTGGATATATATACTAATAACACTATTAATAAATAAAGGTATAGAAAGACATTTTAAGGTGCACAAAAGTTGAGAGTATATGCCACTTGTAGGACTGTACTTCAAGACATTCTAAAGGAAGTTCTTCAGGTTGAAGTAAATGATAACAGAAGTTCCCAAATGTAGAAAGGAATAAAGGAACCCAGAACTACTAGATAAATGGTCCAATACCAAAAACTGTCTTTATCTCTCTATTTACACCTTTTAAAGAAAATTGATTGTTTAAATAAAAGACTATGACATTTTACTGTGGAGTTCATAAAAATTTAAACATGACCACAATAGCACAAAGGATAAGGTGGTGTAAATTGATTTATATTGCTGTAAGTTTATGATGTTTTAAAATCTGAAGTGGCATAATATTAACCTAGATAGAATGTGATAAGTTAGGAATGTACATTATGTTCTTTAGACTAACCGCAGACAATTAAAACTACAAGGAAACAAAGTTAAAAAGACAAAGAAGAAAATAAAATCAAACACCAAAAACATTTAGTTAACCCAAAAGAAGGCAAGAAGAAAGGAACACAGGAAAAAAGTAGGACACATTTAAATCAGAGTTACAGGCCTAAACCAGCTTAACAATTAACCAGTAAGACATGATAATTAAAATATGTACAAACTAATTTTAAAAACTTCAAAAAAATTAAGCAAACCTGACAGAAATGTAGACTAAAAACTGAAAAAGTTTCAACAGCTCTTCAAGAATTGAAAGAAGGACAAAAATATAAGTAAAAATTTACTTATCTCATTTATAGATTTATATCCTAAAAGTGAAAGATTAGTTTCTAATGATCAGGATTTTATTTACTTACTGCAAATAACACTGAGTTTTTAAAATAAAACCATGACATAAATTGTGTTTGTAAATTGCATTGTGACTTCATCACGTACCATATACTGACTGAATGTTTAGACTATAAATTTGGCAAAAGTCACTGTTCTAGATACTTTTCTATCATAGAAAATATCCTAAAATTTCGCTTTCTTTTGTTATGAATATTTCTTTCCTTAAAGTTCCTAAAATAGCATTGGCTAAGACTTTGGTGTTCAACGCCACCATTTAATGCTTTGCCTTGCACTTATTTTATATTAAATTAGCTTCCAAGTGTTATAGATCAGCCCTTAGATACATGATAAATAGATAAATTGATTAATTAATTAATTAATGCTTACCTTAAAGACTAGTTCTCCTACTAAGCCATTCCATGTTCCATCTTCCTGTGGGCTTCCATACTTGTGATCCGGTGCGACGTAAATTTCATAGTTAAAACCCAGGTAGTTAGATAAGGCATCCAAAACATCAATGGAGAAGCCCTGGTATTTTTTCGGCTTACCCAGGACATTTTCAGAGACCATTACAAAAGGTTCTTCCTACAGGGAAATAAGAGAAATCCTTGATGTCAATCTCTTTTGCTTCCTAAAAGCAAAGATTAATTCTTCAAAGGGTTTTGCTTACAGTCTAAAAATTGCTTTTGTCTTTTGAGAGAATTAACTTAGAAGTACAACGTGTGTGTAATGCGGCATATTATTAAACAGTGTTTAGTCACCCAATTTCTTGTCAGCTCCTATTTAATTACAGACATGCACCAATTAACGACAGGCATACGTTCTAAGAAATGTGTCCTTGAGTGATTCTGTCATCGTTCAAACATCATAGAGCGCACTTACCAAAACCTAGACCGTATAGTCTATTACACACTGAGGCTCTATGGGATAGATAGCCTACTGCTCCTAGACTACCAGCCTGCACAGCATGTTACTGTACAAAATGACACAAAATTAAATGAAGCACAAGAAAATATGATGTAATCAACACACTTGGTAAATATAAGATGTGTGAGGTTGCTTCAGGCATACTGTAGTATACTGTTTAAATGCACTGTAAAATAATAATAAAACATATACTGCAGTAAGTACATAACCCAGTAACAAGTATTATGCACTGTGCATAACCGCATGTGCTATACTTTTGTACAATTTAACCGTCAACACAGTAGGCTTGTTTACACCAGCATCACCACAAACACATGAGTCACGGGTTGTATCAGGACATTTTCAACAGTCACCAGACAATAAGGATTTCTGGCTTATTATAATTTTATGGGATCATTGTTGTATATGTGGTGCATTATTGAGTGAAACATTATTACACAGGGTGTGACTACATCACTATCTCAAAATGAGATAAAAGTGACAACGAAACTTCAGGGGCCATGATTCATCTCCCTTGCCATCCCAGGTTAATCTAATATTTATCAATAATAAAACTATATTAAATGAACCATAAATTTATTTGATCTGTTCTTAGGCATGTATTATCTATATATTTCAGAAGTGTTTGAAATAATATTTTAACAGATATAATCTACATAAAATTTTCTGAAATGATCAAAATATTCTGAGAACAAATAATTAACCTAAAATTTATAACATCACATTTCTTGGGAGTTATTTCCTCAGTAGGTTTGAAATTTGGGTATAAACACATATTTCATTGCAAAAAAATAGCCTCTTTACTATTGCTGTGAAAAATTTACTTATCTTTTTGGTAATCATGTAATTTATAAATTCGGCAAATTTGTTTCTGTTCCATCTTTTTTTATCTTTTTGTATTTTTCCTCTTATAAGTAAACAGGTAATCCCCTTTCACTTTTTAGAAAAACTAGTGTTAAGAGAGTTCAGTAGTTTGAAACACCCTGGCAGACTACTAAAAATTAGATAGTTTATTCCTTAACTTACTAAACTTGTTCAAAACCTTTCAGGAACAATAATATTTGTAGATAACCATTCATAGTATGTACAGTCCACCCAACCTTCTGGACAGGTGAAAATCTATCCTGAGTCTAAGCCAAAATATTCAGTTTTTATCTTTGGATCATTTTTCTTTAGCAACTTACAACATAGCTTTCACTGGGTTGTAAAATAATACTTGGCTTTTGGCTTTCATTCAAACACTAAGTGAATGTTTTCTAAAATCACTGCATCTATTACAGGAATATTGTCCACCCTAGCACTCAGTTTTTCCTTAAAACTTCCCATGAAATAAATTTTTGAATTGTTCAAAGCCAAGATAGCTTCATTTTACTTTACTAATGTCTTTTTTAAATAACAAAAATAATGTAACTAATTATTTCAGTTTCCCTTTTCACTTTGGGTACTCAGAAGATCTGTTCTAATGTTTATGTTCATCTACAATGATGGTGATATTGTGGTATTTGTGATGTTTTAAAAATTTTGGTTTTCTAAACTATGTTTAATGTTTTCTCTTTTAAAAAATTTGGTCTTGTTTAACTGTTTATATCTTATCTTTGTGTAAAATATGAGCAAATGGATAGTCAGATAAAGTGACTGCTATTTTTCCCCCAGTAGCTGTCCTCCTCTTCTTCACTAATTATACTTTTTAAGAAATGTTAGCACTATTGAGAATAAATGTCCATAGTCTCTTTCTAAACAAGATGAAAATACATGTGAATAATCTGGCCAATTTGATGCAAGAAGCTGCTTTGTGAAACTTTTCTTGTGTCTTTTATATTTTTCAGTGGGAATGAGTTCATAATGCATGGCTGGAGCTCTGGTAGCCATCTCAGACTGCTCACAGCAGAGAAACAAGACAGAAGGGTACGTCTTTGACAACTGAAATGCTACCCCAGACCCTGACTAACTCTCTAGGGTTCTAGAAAATAAGAAAAAATTTCAGTCTTTTGTTGTTGTTAAGCTCCTGCGACCTTTTCATATTTTAGTAGTATTCGATGCTAATGAACAAAGATAGATCAACAGATAAGAGGTATTGAGAATAAATTAACATTTTTCATAATAGTGATTTTTTAATCTATTTAATTTATATCAAATGAGTAAAAAGTAAAAATGTAATCAATCTAATATTATGTGTCATATTTGGAGTCATTCAAAACAACTTGATGAATCCAAATATTTTATATATTTTAAAGTGCATAATAAACTTCCAGGTAATTGGCAGAATTTGCTATTGTTTATTTGGTTCTTTGGACAATATACAGGCTGAGCCAATGATTATGATTTGCACAAATGCTCTAAAGTAGGTCTTGAGGTCATAGAATCACAATAGATTAAAGAAATGCCAAGAGAAAGATCAGAGTCAGAGCGCATATAAACCCAATCAGAAAATTCTAGAATTACTGGGCCCTGACTGTTCACATTATATTGTAGATGGTGCCAATAGGGAGAGTGTACTTATTTTCTTATATACTTCTCATTGGTTTCTAGGCTTTGAATATCTACTCATTGATAAACCAAAGGAAAATGGTTCATGAAAGATTTTATTTTAATGGTACCTCTATAAAAAATTTTGGACCGTATTATGTTCTGTATTTATCCACAGCATTTAAAATCTAACAGGTCTCTTAAGTTTTTAAATCTCTTAAGCAATTTAATCTTGAAGAAGTTTAATAACACTCTTTAAGTTGACACATAATTAAGAATATCAACTATACTGAAGAGCTAAATTATGTACATGGCAAAAATGACACCCCAGTGTATGCTTCGATATGAAGTATTAGTGATTTTTTAATCTCTTTAGGAAAATGGTTTATCATGCTAAATTTTGTTAAATTTTATTGTGAAATTTCCTCTAGAAATTGCTTTAATTCTAACTTATAAATAAATTCCTAGGCATATAGATCCCTTTCAGAGGTCTTCCCAACACCAGCTAGAATCGACAGCTAGGTACATAATAGAAAAGGTTATACTAAGAGTTAATTTTATAGGGTTAATGATTTATTGATAAATGTTCTTTTAAAATTTTGTGCCCTAAACAAACCTTTATAACATCCTGTAACTTTTTCTCTAGCTTAATGTCTTTAAGCTTTGTTTTTAAGTGTTATTACTGATTTGGATAACTAGTCATAATTTCTACCTCAAACCAGTTGTGTTTTTTGAGAACAGTCAGCCAGTATACTGAACAGGTAAACATAAAAGCAATTAAATTGAAGCTCTGGGACTTATAATAGAAAAGACACTTGTTCCTTTTCTATGGCAAAATACTGAGCTTGGATTAATCATTTTTATCCATGCACGTATTTCCAAAATTGATTCACTCATTTACTTACCCATTTAACATGCATTGAGCAGCTGCTCTGTTATTACACTCAATATCATGAGAGATAAGGTAAAAAAATCATGAGTGCTAGTGCTTTCAAAAGAATTATAACCTAATATTTGGAAAAATCATGTACTCAATACAAAACAAAGAGACCAAAACAAAGCAAAACAAAAGCAATGTGCACCATAACTGGTATAAACAAAACCTCAGACAAATAAAATGGATGCTCAAAGAAAAAAGAAAATCACCATTTTAGGATTACCGGCTTTCAATTATTTTAACAAACAAGAAAAATTAGAAACAAAAGTTTCAACTCAAGTTCACACAATTAAGTTACCAAAGAGGAAAGCATCATAATTACTTTACTGCAACTTTATTTCCTGGTACCTCAAATTTTCAACCTATGAATTGAAATCTAGGGTAACAAAATTTCTCTCAATTTAATTTAAGGTGATGTGAGAGAGACTCCAGGTGCTTGACAGAAAAACAAAGAAAAATACAGTTCTCTCTAGAAGAAAGTATCTTCATCTTAGATCATACATTATTTCTTTAAATAATTATTTGAACAATGTTCAAAGCCAAAGTCAAAGATAACATGTAAAAGGAAATTATGTTTCATATAGAGAACAAGAGAAATAACATCCAGCAGAAACAGATTTTTGAGAATTCAGACACTAAGATTTTCAGATACCTATATAAACATTAAGTTTACTATATTTAAAGGGTAATTTTTAAACTGGGAGGCAATTGGAAACTACAGAAAGTGCCATTGCAGAATTTAAAAGGAACTAAACAGATTTAAGAATTAGAAAAGGCAATGATGGAAGTTAAGAACTTAATGACTGAGTTTCTCAGCAGATTAAAGACAGCCAGAGAATGAATGACTGACCTGCTATAGGCCAGAGTTCATACCCAGGATACAAAGGAATAAACAAATAAAAAAATCTCCCCCCAAAAGAGTAAAGGGATGAGAAGAAGAATAAGAGGTAGTCTGACAATTAAGAATATAAAGAGAAACATGCACACAGAAAGATGCTTCCTGTGGTAATGACGATATTCTGCTTTTCATTCCAGGCAGTGATTATGTGAATGTTACTTTATTATTCATTGATTAACGGTTGAAGCATACCCCCCATTGGGGGTATATTGCAATACAAACAAAAGTAAAGAAAAACTAGGTTATATTGGACCAGCTAATGGAGGACATTAAAGTCATATGAAGGTTTCTCTCTTATTTGGTAGGAAACTGGAGCTCTACGAAAGGGTGATAGCATAATTAGAATTAATTCTGAGA